CTGTTCCTCTGGCAAAATTAATTGCTCGCGTTGCAAAGTTAATTGCTCGTGTGGCGACCAACTTGAGGAACGAATTTACTCTTGCGAATTTACCCAAAGCATAATAAACGGTGCGATAAATTAAAATTTTTTTTTCTCGAAGAGCAATTTTCTGGACAAACTTTTTCTTGGCAAAGCTTAATTTGTTTGAATTTTCTAGGTAATTTATAACTACACGAGAATGCGATGAATCTGAGGCGTTTTGCGGAGACATGGGTAATGAATAATGCCAAGGAGAGATGGGTAAAGCTACTTGGCATAGTTTGCATCAAAGCACCGACCGTGAATAATCTTATGAGAAGTGGTTTATCGCTGGAGAGTAGAATAAGCCAATGGGAACACTTTCATTTATTAAAAAAGCGTTTTACGTGCTCAAAATTGCGCGCGCTAATACGCGAGATTTTATATAAAGCGCGCGATCTCTAATATAAATTAAAAGCAGTATCGAAATTATCATAATGGAAAATTTCTTGTTTCATTAATTTTTAAAGTTCATAATAATATGTAATTATCTTAGTTGCAGTTTTATGTAAGTTATTGTCGAATTTTAAAGAAATATATTTTTAAAAAATTGGACATATATATAATATATACCTAAAAATAAATAAATAAATAAATATATGACAAAAAAATTTGTTTTCTAGAAAAAAAATTTTTGTTACAATCTCTTTTATTACAGTATAGTTATAAATATCTCTAATGTGTTGTGTGAGATCGCGAATCACTTTAACATCTCATACATTATTTTAACGATGGCATGCAACAAATGCGATTTCCCCGTTTGTTATATGCCGAATATTTTATATATTTTTATTTGTTCTTTAAATTTTGTATTTAGACGATAAACTCCGTTCAAAACACACGTTCACATCGTTCGCGGTTCGGCGTTCACTGCCGTTATCGGCCGCGATTAACCCCCGTCGTAGATCGTCCGGCGATTTTCAAGACCGATCGATCGGCGATCTCGCGTCTTCTCTTCGACTCCCGAAAAAGCCCAATTTACCGTGACTCCTGAGATCGTGAGAATTCGAATCTACTCGGATTACAATTTTTTTCTTGTTCCTCGACGATCCTCGCGAACCAGCGTTGACGCGTCGAAAGCGCACGATGCGTGAGAAAACAATCTCGATCTTAGGCACCGTCGTTCGCGAACGATGGTGAACGATCCCGATCACTCGCGGCTGAGTCAACGTGGGTACCACTGGTCGGTACCGCTCGGTCCTCTGTCATAATCTTGAGTGCAAGAACGAATGGGAGAACGCGCGTGACTCGAGGACCTCGAGGACGGAGGGCGCGACGTTGAATGAATTGATCGCGTAGAGAGGGTTCTGTCTCTCTCCCTCTTTCTATATACCCCCACGAAATCCGAGAGCGTAAAAGTAGGACGTCTTATCACCGTTCGCATGTGCGATCTTCCTTCGCCGAGGATATGGACGGAGTGGCGACGAGGCTACCTGCCGGACGGAACAAGGCGCAGACACTGCGACACTGATCAGGGCGCCCTATAACGGGAAGCTCGCGAATTTCTCGCACCCTCTCTCGCACCCTCTTTCCGTCCATCTCTCTCGTTTCGACACGCGTGCGCCCCCGATAAGTCGTTCTCCCTTTGTCCCCTTTTACTGCGGGCGATCCGCTTCTTCGGCAACGTGCGGCGCGTGCACTTCCGTACTTCCGGTGCGATCTTTATTATTTCGGTACGCTCTCTTCCGCGCAGTAACGGATGCTATATTTTGGACGCGATCCTATTCTTGTTCGATTCGCGGTAAACAAGCGGATGACCGGATTTATAGAGTAGCCAAATATCCGAGAACTCTCGTCATATCAAGGTTCTTGGCAAACTACGTAAAACATTGCTATTCTGCTAATAAAATCTTTGGATTCTTTGGAAAGATTGATTGGTAGAAAAAATCAACTATAAAGATAGCGGATCTATATTGCTTTTAAAATTGTAAACATTGATTTCATATCCTAAATAAGCTCTTTGTTTTCGTTTGATTAAAGACATCCTCGCAAGAAGATGATTAATAAGTCGTGCATTACAGTCGTTTCCTCTTGAAAAGATAATCAATTACTTCGAACGACTGAATATATCGCTCACTATTACTATTTATTCCTTATACGATCACTCCACTTACATTTATAGCACGCACATCTAACGTAGGAATGACACGCATTGTCTTGAGCCATTAATTACCATTATTAATTAATCATTCTCGCGTTACTTCTATTCTCTCCTTTGTTCGGTCTTTCAATGATTGTGCAATTGTGACCAATTGTAATGAATCAACGCGGAAACTATCAAAACTTATTGTCCGTGTGAGACATTGAAAATTTGCCACGGAATAAACGCGAAATGTTAGTTATTTAGTGATGCTATTAATTACTGACCGCTTGATGCTACGTTGCAGCTGTTACCTCCTTGAGTACACAAATTCTCGGAACGTTGCGAAAGCTCGTTTCCACCAAAAAGAGAGAGCTTACAAAATGCTATTTTCGGTCTTGAATCCCATGTTTTATGCATGTGACAGTTTTTTTAAATAAATTTGCAACATGATATTTATGGATATAAATTATTGTAACACTAAAGGAGCTTTTACGGTTTTAGCATTGCGCTTCGGCAAAATAAATAAAGAGAATATGGTTCTTCTGTAAAGCTTTTAAACAAACCCGTTCGGAGTAAAAAGCTGTCAGCGTTGCACGTTGGAAAAATTGATTTATTGACACCGATATAATTATTGCAACAACATCCGTGATAAAAATCCCTGATGCAATGTTGCGATATCGGATATCGATATATCGGAAATTCGGTAGCCATTCTTAGTTCACATAAATAAACATAGTGAGGTGAGAAAGAGAGTTTCTCTCCCGTTAAGTTTCGCCGCGAAATGATAGTCATGCCTACTAAAATCTTATTTGCAAGTCGGAGTAATTGCGTCTATAATTTATATGGATCGCTTGAAGTAACACGTTTAAACCACGAAGTAATGATTTAAATTACAACGAAAACTGCATACAATAAATGTATATCTTCTCGAAAGCTCGTATGCTATTCACGATTTTGTTGAGCAAATTGAATTTGCATATTGCAAGCTGAAATATATATATATATATATATATATATATATGCAGTTTCAAGAGATAATTGCACCGTTAGAGGAAATATATCGTTGCATTTTAATTGTTTCATACATGTAGAAGAGTGTGTGAAGCTTTAGTATAGTGATAATTATACGTGTATACATGCTGTTCTAGTTTCAATAAGATTCTAAAATCCTCTTAATTAATCTGACAATGAAAAATTGTATGTATTATTTGTAAACTTTGCTCCGATATTTCTGAGAAATACTGCAATATTGGAGGACAATGGATCATCAATTGATAAAAATTGTTTTCCGCGAATAACAGGAACAACGCATGCGAAAGAACAGTATAGTCTCTAATGACCGTATATATATATTCGAAATACGATAATTTTTTAAACCGACAAAATATATAAAATTAAACATTATACTCTTTATATTACTGTTTTTATTATATTATTTTTTGTCTAAATATACCATGTTTTGCGAAAACGATATGGTGTTGCAGATGTATAATATGGAATTTTTTTCAATGATATCAAGAACATTCATATAAATAGAGTAGATTTTATTTCACGACATTATTACCACAGCATGACGTGCACGGACGGATTTATTATGCGGGACAGTTTCCAATTTCGCGCATCGCTGATAATATTAAATGAAAATATTCCGTCACGGGGACCTTCCATCTCGCGGTGACCGCGTAGGTATTCGCTGTAAAATCAACGTCATTTTATGAGAGATCGCACGCTGCGGGAGATTTCCGCCTACGAGACTGCGGCACAGTCGGATTGGCGCCAGTCAGGGCCGTATTAATGTAAGGCAGTGTGTTAAATGTACATACATCCGTATGCAAACAATCTCCTCCCCTGACCTGACACCGTCACACTTTGCTCTTCTATTAGATGTTTGAAAGCTCGCACGTTCCATTGCATTTCTCATGCATTGTCGACAACCAGGTATTCAATTTAAAATAAGGAAAAATATTTTAATAAAAAATATTTTTTTAATTAAATTTTCTTTGTCTCATATGTCCTTGATGTTAAGAAAATACGAATTTATTTAATTGATATACAAGAATGAATAAAAAGAGGTTTATTCAATAAAAAAATAAAATAAAGGAATTCTTGATACTCAGTATATTGTTTAACAGCAAATTATTACAAGTATAATTATTTAATTATTACAATCTTACTATATATTAAATCTTATTATATTTTCACGATTGTCGTATAATTGTTTTTGTTGGATTGGCAAAATTAGAGTATCGCAAATAATGCGAAAATCGAAATTCAATTCCTTATTTAACACTAATTAAATAATTTGTTTCTTACGCAAGGAAACATAAATTGTTCCGGAAGAGTACAAAAACATCACCACAAATTCGTTAATTTTGAAAGTGTATTTTGTGACGAAAACACGTTTCAGTTGTTCGGCATCAGCAAATGAAATTTTACTCCTCTCGACGAACCCTATCTTTAATTTACGAAATCAAAGTGTTTCAAATAAATGAAGAAACTTTTTGTTCTGACCCATCAAAGAAGGATTAATATCTTCATTTCCGGAAAACACTTTTACACAAATTCAAGTAGTATCAAACAAATACCTTGCCGTGATGCTTTTCATTTTTTGTCGTCCCTTGAAGTATAGATGAAATCACGAGAGAGACGATTGTAAACTTTCGATATAATCAATTTCTATAAATCTATTTTGTTATGCGTATATATAATAAGATATTTATAATAAAAGACAAATTCTCGATTAATTTTATACCTTTCAATATTGCAGTTTTTCGAAATGATCTATTTCTTCCCTTACAATTTGCAAATTCTTTTAATATTGCTTTTCTAATTAATAACATAAGAACAATTCACTCACCTGAGCGACTTTTTCTCCCATGTTCGGTGTGTGCATCGCTCCTTGAAAATACTTTGCAGATCCATTGTCTTGTAAGGAAAACTGTAATGTTACAAAGCACATATATTTTATTAGTAAAACGGTAATAAAATATTACTTATAAAAATTATACAATTCTTTATTATATGATAATTAAATTGACTTATATTACGTCCGATGATTAAAAAATAATTTAAGCCAAAAGGCGTCAAATATACGTAGATATTTTTTACTTGGACATATATATTTTTGCACGTAACAACTAAAAAACTTACTTTGTGTTTGATGGAATCTGGTCCCATCTGACTCAGAGATGGCGATTTTCGGTCTTTGGACGTTCGCCATTTCTGCAGATCACTTTCAGACGCGACGCCAGGAAATATTTTCGAATGTTTCGCTGCGACAAAAAGTAAACGTTACATTTGTCAGTTTTTTCCTTTGAGATTACTAGCGTAGCGATGTGAGATCATCGTTATAAGTTATTGTTAATTCAAAATCTATAAGTGTGAAATACAGGCTCGATCGAATCAAATCTATTTCCACCGAGTCTTTGAGAATGGCGACAGCAACTCTAATGAACTAAGTTACAAGACCAATCGTATTTACATACATCGCTATAATCGACAGCATCTCGACATATTTATAATGATTACGAAAGAAGCCGTAACTCTGTAATAATCTAGTATGAATACAGGCACGTGTGTACAGTAATACGTGTCTCAAACAATATAATTATGTTTCAGTCGAGTTTTACGACACCATATTTACGGCACACATTCTAATCTAATGTAAATATAACGGTGCATCGAAGCGATCATACGCAAAATATCAAAACAAATTTTGCATCATCTCTGCTCTTTCTGTGATAACGTTTTTAATTTAATTTAATTTAATGTTACGTAAAAATGAAATAAAAATATGTGATAGAAAAAATACATATAAAATATATATATAATAAAAATAAATGTTTAAAAAGTCATTATTTCCTTTATAAAATATGCGCGCAAACAATAATATTAATCAAAGATAATCGCATTGATAATCGCTTCGATGTTTACCCGAGAAATAAAAAAATAACCGAGCCTATATCTCGATCTAGAAGCAAGAGTGTGTTAGTAAAACGAGTTAGTTAATCCGCACTAGAAGCTGCATACCTGTGAAAGAGATTTATTGTTGTTTGTAAAAAAAATCGCGCCAAACAATCGTATATCGAGTGACGATGCGTTTTAATTAGATGTTACGTTGAATACTATATGTAATATTGTATATGTATACAATAAAAATGGGGATCGTCTTGCTGAGATGATTTATACAATGATATATATAGTTACATAATGATATATGGTCGTTATTATTGATCGCGTACTTTCATGATTACGCGTGGTTTACGTGGTTCCACGATACAATCAGTACGTATAATGGTTCGTAATGATGCTCCGGGCGTGTACCCGGATGCACCGTGATATATTTGCATATGTGTTGAAGTAAAAGAAGCCGTGAAAGGCCAGCCATTCTGGTCCCGCTGTAAAGAGAAGCAATGTAAACTAAGAATTTTTAATTCTCGTAAAACTCTCGGTCAGCCAAAATGTGCTCAAAAGAAGTTCTCTATTTCCGCCGAGTCGCGTAATCGAAAAATTCGTCTCAGAGAACGAAAATCAAGATAAGAATAAATCAATGACGCGATTGGAACAAAAATATTTATAAGATACAAAACAAATGCAATACAAACAAACGCGTCGTACCTTTGTTTAAATAATTTAAAAATATTATATTTTAGAAAAGTGTTTACTGTCTTCACACGTGGAAAAACATGCCAAAATTGTTATATAACATTATGTTTGAAAGAAAAATGATCTATCTTCTTGAAATAGAAGGAGAAAACAATGCATTTGAGCATTCTGAGCTGGAAAATTGTTTCCCCGATTTAGCTTAATGATATTTAAATTAGACTTGTAAATTGGCTCGCTTCCGACAGAGTACAATTGAAGACATCTGGACGAACATTTGTGAATTCTCAGGTTTGCAAGTACAAAGTGGCTGATCGAGCGAGGCTACAGTGCTCGTTTGATAATAGTCAAAGGTATAAAATGACAGCACTCTTTTACGTGGAGTTCATTGCTAGCATATTGTAAATCAACGTATTATAAGTAATGTAAATAGTAAGTAAGTAGTAATAGTACATAAGTAGAGAATAACACAGTAGTAAAGTGGGGTGTAAGTAGTAGAAACAGGCCTATGAAAGCTCAATCGGACGAAAGTAGTACGAAGTATCTCTCGAAAGCTTATGATAACAAGAAAGCTGCAAGCGCTTGGTAAGTTATAAAAGGGGTGCAAGCTCGCGCGCCGGTTGGCACTCGGTCGGTTAAAGGAAACCAAGAGAGCAGAGTGGTTGCTCCCTCCTATTTTACCTTCGGCTAGATTATCGACTGTGGCTGGTCGTCGCTCGAGGGTGACATGTTCGCTCCCTCGACCCGCTACTAAAATAGTTTACTGAGGTTTGATTTTGAATTGAAAATTCGTGACGGGGCTCGCCATTAAGCTGACAAGGCGAATACATAATGCATAAGATGAGACGGAAAAGAGATGGGGTGGGTTCGAGAAGGTATTATCGTAATTCTTTGCTGCGAGGAAGAGGAGTATAATGTCTGAATATTGTATCGTGACACAGAGACATTACGAGAGAGATCCTCGTTTCGTTAGTTATTTAATAAAACACTCCTGCCTCTAACTTAAAATTATCTTCATGATGAGATATTCTAGGAAGGTAGTTTAACGTTCATTGAAACTTTTCCCGATACCGTGCGAAAGTACGATGTAAGACAGTTTCGTCAGTTCGATACAATGTTACACTTGATTAAGTTCCTTGTGCAGAAAAAAAGTATAAATTATCTCGCACCGGTGCGTAAAGATAATGTAAGGAGTGTTGTTTTTCTATATGTTAAAAACATTGTGCGCGACATAATGTCGTTTATTTTAGGATATTCTTTTTACGGAGTATCTTTCTACGCGACGACTAAAAATAAGCGCAAAATCTCCGATGCAAGATCTGGCAAATCTCTCTCCTTTGTTATCTCCTCTGTGTCTCAAAATAATGTTTTCTTCGTACTTTTCTTTATACCCCTCTTTGCACAAGCGAAGAATTATCGTCTATTAACGGTTGACGTTAAGAATGGTGACATTTAGTTGGACGCACTTAAACAGAAATCTTGAGCCAAATGCGTTGTTTCTGTGTTCCAGATAAATTTTTTGCTCTCTCGACGGAAGCAATACTAAATCACGTAGCAATTACATGGATGTTTATCGCATTCCAAATGTTGACTGGTACAACTACCAGGACTGTTACACGATCGCAATCACCAAAGAGCGTCTCTCGAATTCACCGAACGTCTGTCTAGTTGCAGATTTTATTTTACGATTTAGAGAGGTGGATTTTCCTAACGTAACCGAGAGAAAAAAGTTTATCGAGAAAATGTAACGCGGCTCCTTATTTAATTGTATTTCTGCGCTCTGATAGATTACACATTAATGCAAAATAAATATTGATGCAGCATTATTAGATATAAAAATGGATCATCGCAATCAGTTACAGTAGATACACACACACACACACGCGCGTATATACGTATGTAAGAAGGGACATAATTATAATTCTCCATTAAGTGTAAGTCGCTTTCTATATTCGACGAGGAATTTCTCTTTTAATATATATATATATTTTCCCCTTTTTCTGTCGCAAATGGACGATATAAAGGTGGACGATATAAGCTTATCAGTCTCTATCTGCAAATATGCAAGAGCTCACGTATATATTCCACGTGCTACATCGCGAATAGCGCAACGTTATAGAGAGTTTTGCTTACAATGCGCGGTACGGAAGGCCAGATGGTCAACTATCTGTCAATATCCGCGGCATGAAACGTCGCATGCAACGATATTATTATCCGCGGTTCCATTAATTGTTATTTAACTGCGAAACATATGTATACATATGCGGCTACATGCGCCGATCGTAATTACAAACCAACGCAAAATTAAGCGATTTATTGTGTCTCTGTCAAAGTTTTCGCAAAGCGAATCATAGGCGACAAAATTATAAAGTAAATATTATTTGTTGAATTTGTCAAGAAAAGTTGTATTATTTTACTTGAATTTATTCAAGTCAATTATATAATAAACATAAAATATTTGTTAAGAGTGATTTCGATATTCCTTCAACTTGTTATTAAAACTTTCCTGTTAATTATTTTACAAAACGCTCGACAAAATCAAGAGGGAAAGATTTTTATTAGTCATGACTTGTTTACCATTCTCGCTATTTTTAGGAAAACAAACTGCATTCTGCCGGTCATTTTGATGGAATTGCAATGCAGCTAAAGAAACGTACATATAGTACATCGTCAGAATAATATAAAATAAAATATCGCTTCACAAAAAGCACTAATGTCAGATCGGACAATTCGGTCGGGATACGATGAATACAGTATAAAAACGATATAAAAAGTGAGAGATTCATTGTATACTTACAGACGCTGCAGGTGAGACTGCGACAAGGCACCCTCGCCGTTTCCGGTTTCACGGCTCTCTTCGAGATCGCATCCAAACTCGCTGCGTGAGAAACACTCCGCGAGGGACCTTCCGCGGCTCCACCCGACGACGAATTCGCACCCTCCCAAATTCCCGACTTTTGCGAGACCTGAAAGCACAACACAATTGTACTCGATCACAATTAATTCAATTTCTTGATATTTCTGGTGATCCATCTATTAAAGTGAATCTCGTGGTTATTCAAATATACGCGAAGACGGATTAAAATATTGCTTGTTAATTTGTAATGACAGCATCGTATTTTTGACATCTCAGAGGTACTCAATTTCATTCTTGATTGCGTCGTAATTTTATTATGTATTATATATTTTTATCACATATTTTATTATATACTTATTATATATTTTTATTATCGCGTTGAAAAGACTTCAAAAAAAAAAAAAGATCGAAACGTTTGCGCATCTTTGTTTGTGCTTTCCATTAATTTATAATAAATTTATCTACGCCTAATTATCGCGCTAGTTCTCATTACCACTTCGCTATTGTTTTTATTAATTATAATTAACGAGTTTTTTAAGGAGTCTATTAAAAGATATTGATTATTAAAGTTATTAAAATTAATCAAACATAAAATTATGCTTTTTTCCCGATTTCTTTCTCACCGACGTATCAGCTGATTTACAAAAAAAAAAAAAAAAAAAAGAATTTTTCCGCAGTCTTACATACATCGGCAGTGCGGCAGCCAGTGTCCTTAAAATTCGAGGAATCTCGGGTCACCGTATCGGGCACGTACGACTGGATCCTATTAGTTCGGTTCGATAGCACGGTCGGCGTCCATTACACGTCCGGCCGACGGGGATATTCGTGAAATTGAAACGAACGAAAGAGGTGAATAGGTAGGTGGGTGCGAGGGAGTTTTGCTTCCCGTCGATGTACGAAAGCCTAACATGTGTTTGGATTGTATAGCAGCTGTTCATGCATGCGCCATTAACCCGCGTATGGGCGTGCGATAACCTTTGCCCGTTCAGCAGCTACCTACGTGTCGGTCGCGGGCTGAAACTTCCTTGGTCTCGAAATTTCGGAGGCTATCGCCGCCACGTGCATGCTAAACGCGCGTTTCAATTGTATACGTATTCGGAAAACGGAATTAAAATTCGGCGAACGAGAATTCACTTTTTTCCTTCCCGGTAAAGAAAAAAAAGATCGTTCGTTATTTTCAACGTTCTAAGTGAAATCAATTAAGGTACGAATTCCATAATCATTAGCGTATAATAATTCCACGTCCACGAGCTGGGAGATTTATGATTATTTTATTCTCCAAGTGTGAAAATGAACCGCGCATCATAATTGCAATTTCGCTCACGCACGTATGTATTACTAATGACGCGACTAATTAACCGGCCGTTAATTGATCGCGATGTTGCTAGATCCACGGACGATCGCGTGCTAGCAAATTGCTCTCATCGCTGGCACATGCACTCTTTTCTACTTACGTCGCTCACTCCCTCGGGACTGGCGATGGGAGCGGTAGTGCCGGGCTGCGGTATGACACCCGGGATAATCGCCGACGTTGTTGCGCCACCATTGTTGTTGCTCCCCGTCAAAGGCGGGGGTGGCAGACCCGGTGGTGGCGTGCCGGTTCTCCCAGGACCCCAAGATTCCATCATTGTGGGCGAGCCACATGTTAACGGGCTGAAACGAATTCAAATAATATCAGTCGGAACTCGAGTTTGACTTGCATGTACAATTCAATTCATTCATATTCGCCGTATAATTATTTTGGGTACGTGAATTATTATGTGAAAATCTAGTTTAAAACATTAAAAAAGATTGTATCTCCAAGATTTCAAAATTTGTTCAAGACTCATCTCTCTTTTTCGCATGACAATTTTATCATAATCACGAAGACTTTTCTCGTCCGTTCTTTTTATTAAAAATACACCTTTCACGAATCTTGATAGCTGGCAGCGGAAGGCCTCCCCTTCAACTTCATGAAAGATTCAAGCAGTGGAAAGAGATTGTACGGATAAACATGTTAAGTTGTTACGAGAGAATCCGCGATACAATATTTCCGGGACGCGAATACCCCGAAGCGTTGAAAAACGAAGCGGTCGTCTTCCATTAGCCCGGCCAGGAAATTGTAGCGCGCGCTGGTGGGCAACCCGTTATCCCCGTTACCGGGAAATGACGTTAATCCGGAAGGTGGCTCGCGCGCGGATAACTCAGCAAGCCTGCAAATGGCCGCGTGGCGACCGACGAGAAATTGTATAAATCCTAAGGTTATGGGGGTGGTCGATACCGCGCGATACGGAACGGAGGTCAGACCACCGCGAGTGAAGTGTGTCAGTGTTAGGTCAGACTTGCCAATCGATAAACAACCTCAACCAGCGCGGCACGACATGCGGCCGACGCATGTTCGTGCGTGCATGCGTGCGTTCGGTGCGTAGCAGCGAATATATACGTGGACGATATATATATATATATACAATAATTGCAATTATATCGTCGTTGTATTATTAAACCATTTCCTTCTTCTCGCGCTATCCTCCTGTGTCCGTTCAGCAGACACGAATGCGCATTCGATAGACTGTATCTTTTTTCGATTGCTCTCAATTCGCAGGCAGTACATTTGTAACGCGATTAAGTTCGGTCAGGGGGAATTATTCAGTGAGATATGCACTTAGGTATGTGTTGGTTGCGTATGTACGTTGTGTATAAACTAACATACAAACAGCCAATTATAGACACCGTGTTCGAGTGCATTGCATAATACAATGATCTTCCGTGCGGCACCCGCGGGAGCCATTTGTGCGCCGCCGCAACTATCCAATTGGCCGCTTCATTAAATTAACTGTTTCTCTTCTCTCTCCTCTATATTTCTCTCTTTCTCTCTCTCTCTCTCTCTCTCTCTCTTTCTCTTTCTAGTAATGCGCAGATAATGTTAAATACACAAATATAAATTTAAGAAAAAATATTATAGCTCTACGCTCTGCTAAATTCTCGAATTAGTTGAAATTACAATGGAATTGAGAGAATGCCTCTGTGGCAATAGATCAAATTAAAATCGCCTCGCACACCTGCGTACAGCTAAGTCACGTTTGCGTAAAATTTGTATTAGGAAATCGAACAGGATAATTAAACATAGAATTTGTATAGAATTGTGCCGCGTTCTCTGAATTATATAGTTTCACTCGACAAATCTATTTTATTTCGGTTGCCTCGAGTTTGCCACCTCTAGTTTTATGAGATACACCACGCGGCTTAATTACCATCATTCGGATTCAATTAATTAATTCCTGGCGCCTAATGTGCCAGACGGTTTAACACAAAATTTGGCGCTCGATAAAATCATTTTCTCGTTAATTAAACGTAAAAACTTGCGAGGGTAACGAATGCGCGGAAGGGTTGAACGACGAGGGTAAAGCGTTTAATTGGCCGGAAAGTTTACACGCACGGTCGTCAACAGCAACGATTGTAGATGCAAGAATTTCATGGAGAGCCGCCGTGCAATCCTCTCTGCCACTCTTTCAGGACTTTTGGCGCAAATATAGAAATGGATGAAGATCTGCGTTTGAAAGGTGTTCGATAGACAATATCGAATTGTCGAATCGGCGACGTCAAGTAAACCAGAAAGCGACTCGAATCGTCGATACACAAAGAGAAACGATCCTTCTTTGTCCCGATGCTCTTCGCGAGTTCTCGTTTCGCGAAATGGTCTTTGCTTATGCCTTGACTCGCGGATTTGTATGCATGAGCAAAGTTGCGAACGGGTCAAGTTCATCATTCGGGCAAATGAAGATGCGATATTTATCATATACGACGATACAGATCCACGTATCTTTGATCTGATTATGATTCGCGGGAAAGTTGGCCGAGACGTTCTCCAGATAGAATTTCTTCATTCAGAGAGTTAAGCTAAGCAATGCTGAATTAATGAAAACTATCGGAAAGAAAAACGTGACTTTTTACTCTGACAAATTTCGCCCGTATCACGTAGAAAATTTTATAGGGAACCTGACGGCGCGAATAAATTCAATCCTCTGAACGACCGGCTCTCGAAGATGAAACTATTAGCAACGAACGGAGTTATCGGCGTCGAAAACAGTTAGAAGCCGTCACTAAGATCGATGGATTCTGCACCGATATTTATCGCGGTTATTTCGCGTTCCGCGTGTCGCAAGGGGCTGAATTTTATCGCCGGATGCGATCAGCCGAGTTGCGCGCGCGGTAGATTTATCGACATTTACAGCGTCGAAGTAACCCTGACATCGATTCTCTCAACGACCGTGTTGACAGAATGATTTTGTAATACAAATAGAATTAGATGCACGTAATGGTGCGCTGTTTTTTTCCTGGATAAAAAAACAGTAAACTATATTGAAACATTTTTCGGACGCCGATTTTTCATTTTAGAAACATAGAGAAATAAATTCCGTATATATGTATACACGCAGAAGGTATATTTCATTTTTCAATGTACGTTTCTCTTACTTTCTTCCATTATTGAAAACTTATTTTCGAAAGACTTTTCTTTTCGAGAGCACGAGTGAATAAATGCAATCCAATTCAAATTAATCAAAGACCGTATCACTTTTTTTCAGAATTCGATACGTCCGACGGGCGGCGTATGAAAAAGCCATTAGTGCAATTTTCTCAATCAGAAAAATATCAGACTGCATTTATTCGTTCGCATGTCAATAATTTCCGCGCGGCATGTCGTTAGCGTCGTGGTGACATTTCCAACGGAAATGGCGCGTCTGCAGTGTGACGATAATTTGTTTTCGGACGAAATAAACGCGCAATTATACGAAAGCTCGATACTTTCCCTCATATATATCCTCTCGTTCTAAAATCGAGTCTTTATTATTTCAAATGACCATTTCGCTTGACCTCTTGCGAAAATGCAAATTAATATAATGTTGTTATATTTTAAGTCTGTATATATATATAATGTATCTTCTTCTGACAGAATTATACTTTCAAGGAGATTGTTTGCGCTTGAAAGTGACTTCTTCCATCGCGCAAGTTTGTACGCATTTCGATATGAAAAAGGAATGAGTTATTGCCGTCAAGAAAATGATGAATGCTAACTTCCTCTGTTAATGCGATTAGCAAAACTTTCTTGCGACGCAGCGCTTTCACCATGATTTGATCAATTTTCTGATTTGATTAATTGTATAATATTCTGATTATAAATGTGTGTGGATAAAAAATGTCCGCTATGATTCTATATATTAAGTTTCTCCACGCCCTCTTTCAGTCGTGCACGTTATCGTTGGGTGTGTACGAGAAATTAGAGCGGAAAATAGCGTTCTCGCATGTTTAAATCAGTTTTACAATATACTCGCGATTACGATTTCAAAGCATTATCCCTAGACTTCGATAATTGCACATGTGTATCGTTGCTAATCAAATTACGCGATATTTACATTGCAAGAAAAAAAAGATTTTTTAAATTCCTCTTCGAAGCTTTAATCTGTAAAATTATAGTATCAGGTTACTTTATCAAGCTCGCGCCAGTTTTTCCACCAACAAAACTTTCGCCATGACTTTATTTTGCTATGATTAATTACAGCTATTTAGCTTTTTCTCATAATTGTCTCACGATATGCACAGCTGTGTTATAAATCGGTGTGACCTCAAAAACCGTTTTTACGATTCCTACGTTAATTAACTTCAAAGCGGGCGAGCTCCATCCTTGGAATCGACTGGAATGCGTGTTCTCACGCGAAGGTCTTCGAGAGCGTGTGTAAGGCTATATTTCGTCGCGAAATTAGTGTATTTTGCTCGGCCAAAAATGTGGTCGACGAACGCTAATTTGGAGACCCTCGCGCGGCGCAATTCCAATATCTTCAAATCTAAACTTGATATGTTAATTTCTCTTCTGCGAATCTAACTCCAACAATTCATCGTTTTTATATAAACGATAAAAAAGCAACCTGATATATATTAATAAAATATTTAATAAAATAATGGAGAAAAATAAAATGACAAGAGAGAAAGAAAAAAGATTTTCCTATCGAAAAGTAATTTCCATTACGATGTAAAAATGACACTCACACGGAATTACAATCTGACAAGTTAAATATTGTATTAAAATACTTATGCTCTTTTCTCTGAACATTTTCTGTCTGTCTCTGTCTTCCTTTTTTATTCTTTCTTTTTCTCTCTGATTCAACTTTGACGCGATGACAAACAAACACGTATTTGCATCGAATAATGATCGAATCTTAATTAAAAACTCCAATCTTGATTTATTTCAACAACGATAAGATATATGTATTATATTAATAATCTATCTCGAAAAAAATACGTTTAGCAAATGTTAAATCAGTATTCAATTAATTTGAAAATAAAGATCAGCTGCAATCAAATAATTAAAAATCTCAATATAATATAATATTAAAATAAGTTAGAATATAACTTAGATTACGGTTTCTTGCAATAAGAAATGTAGATGTACATATGATGGCAGGATTTGCGTTTAACTGACAGATGTGTTAAACTAATATACAAGTGACAAATTATCGCCATTCTTAGCGATGATTCCTCGACTCGCTGATTCATTTTTTCACATTGTTTCATTTTTACATGACGTTTCGACGTTACTTTTACATAACGATCCTTTCGATCGAAGGATCCCTATTGTCATTCAGCATTCGTGTTTGAACCTTCGCGTATAGCTTGGCATG